CACACACACACACACACACACACACACAAGAATGGTTTCTAGGTGAGCTCACATATGCACCAAAGAGGGAACCTGAACTTTGGCTCTCAAAATCCCAGCAACAGGTACCCTAAAGCTAAATCCAGCAGCTATGGAGTTGCTGCTCTGCACACACTATTCTCACTGCCACCCCCAGACTCTGTTACCTCTCAAGGACCCACCCCATACCTCCCACCCCAGAGAGGATCTATCTCCCTGCAACATAACTGTTCCCTCTGCCACACTGAATACCTCACACAGGGTCCAAAGCCAGAATCTCTGACTAGGCTGAGAAGGGCCCTTCGTATTCGGATCTGGAACTTGAGGTATCCTATGCCCCTCGGCCCCCCTGGGCAGCCCAGTGCCGGGGTTACCTGCCAGGATGGAGTGTAGAGATTCTTCTTTCACCACAACCACCTGTCTGTGAACATCCCTAGGAGGAAGATAGGGAGTAGCTTACTCTTCAACCAGGGTAAATGCATTAGAGCATAACTCAGTGCTCAGACCCTGCTCTGTGGTCCATGCTGTGTTCTCAGCTTTGGCTGAAGGGTTCTGGACCACACATGGCTTCTACCCCCAGTATCATTACAGTCCCTTTGCACATGTCCACTGTACAGCGTCCAAACAACAGAGGCATGGGGCCCTGCTACTAATGCTTCTCTATGGGAGAAGCATGGCTCTGCTAATGAATCCCACTATAGGACTCCAGCACATGCAGTGAGGCATCATGATTGTCATGAAGTGTGCCTCTATAAGGATGGCAGCAGGAGCAGGCAGATTGGCCCAATTCCTCCTTCCAAACATCACCCTCCTCCCTTGACCCCAAATGCGGCAGCCATCACAAGCAATGTCCAACTGCTAGGTCTCTGGTCTTAAAATCCTTAGGCCTGCTGCTGAGCTCGGCACATCCTCTGCTTGCCCTTTCCCTACAGCGAGGGGAGGCCAGCATAGCCTTGTTCCACCCTACATGAACACACCCCACCCATGGCCTTTCATCTCACCAGACTGACAGCGTGGCTGCAGCAGTGAGTGCCATGACGTAGGAGCCTGTGCAGTGCAAAGTGGAGATCGGGGACGGCAGGAGGATGGGAGGGAGGAGGCGACGACCACAGGTGGAGAACACTGATAGCATCCTCTTCTCGCAGGCGACACACACCACATCACTAGGAAAGTAGAAAAGGGATCAATGTCATGGGGGTTGGGAACCAGAGCAGAGGGAGCAGCCCCAAGATGCAGAGACTTCCTTGTGCCTGAAGCGCCTTCCCCTCAGTGGGTTTAGTGGAAAAAGAAGCAGGAAGAGGCCTGCCATGAAGATCAGGGCAGAGGCTCAGAGCTGATGTTGTCTAACAGAGCGCCCCAATTAGAGAGACCATATTCTTCTCCACAACAGGAACTGCTAGATCTTTTTCTGAGTTCATCCTAAGATTAATCCAGAGGTGTGAGTGCTTCAGAGGGCCATGGTAGTTGACAGTGACCCAGTTAGCATACTTCACCTATCAGTGCCCACTCAACTGTTTCTAGGCCACAACTAGTAAGAAGGTGGCTTTTTCTGAGATAGGCTATAGTCTGGGAAAAACAGAGCCTGTCTCCACATGCTTAGGTCTTTGCATCTGGGATAGGAGAGGTGTGTCACCTCTGAGCAAGAAAAGCTTCAAAAGCAAGTGTGAGGGTGATGACAAGTGACTCCCCTCTGGTTGGCCAGCAGTCCCTCAGGTGTGCCCAGCACAAGCAGACTGCTTCTCAGTAAGGGCCTCTGTGGGACCCCAGCCACAGGCTAGGGTGAGATCAGAGACGACAACATACTGGTCCCACAAGACCACCCAGAATCCCACTCATGTCACTTCTGTTTGTTCAGCCAATGCCTGCAGTCTGCACAGACAGCAAGCTCACAGCAAGGTTGGCTAAGGAAGGAGCTCTAGCAACTGCCTCTCCTGAAGAGGCACTGCTGTTAATGGCCTCTGGGCTGGAAGAAGCAAGTTGTTTTCTGTTTACAAGGACTATTTGAGAAAGACAGGCAATGGAAGTTTTCTGCAACTGTACTGTCTGTTCATTGCTGATGGTCAGGGTTGTCCTGAAGGCAGACCACTATAGAGGAAGGATTTGGCTGCAAAGCCAAGGAGCAGTATGGGAGGAAGAGAATGGAGGTTCCTTCTGAGCCAATACCACCTGCTCGGTGTCTATGGGAACCTTGCCCTAAGACAGAAAGGCACTTGTGAAAGCATTTTACAGGTAACCACATGGTGATTAACGATCTAATTAAAATGACTATTTAAGTAATTCACCTGTGTAAAACTTTTTAAAGAGTATGGAACACATGGTCCTGACTGGGGGCCTTATGCCTCCACAGGCACCTGAGAAAAACAATTCCTTGGCCTGAAAGCACAAGGGGAGGCACTGGATACTAATTTGCTGAATCAAGGTCCACTTTCAAAATGCAGAATATGGAAGGGATGGGTTGGGGACTTGGGAAGGTAGTCAAGAAATCAGTTCCAACCCCCTTGGATAAAAATAGGGTGAAAGGGTCAAGCAAAGCTCAGTCTGGAACCTTGAGGCTTCAGGAATTTGGTCAGACAAAGAAGTCAGAACATGTAAGTAAAAATCCTAGCTTGGGTGACCCTCTAGTACTGCTTCACCATCTGTCACATGATGACAGTGGTGCTGACTTCAAGAGGAGTTGCAGGGGCTGAGATGACAGAAGCACATGCTTAGCCTGGCAGGACTTGAGTGCAGGCCTCTGTGGGAACTAGGATGTGGGAAAAATGCCACTCCCTCACAGATAGGCCATGTTGTGGGACATGTTGTACTACATGCCATGCAGTACAGTGCATTTGTTTGCTTGCTGTACATTAAAAGCTGGGCCAGGCAAAGATGCTTGCCCTTACCAGCTGCCAGCGGCAGTGAGGATCCGATTGGTGAGTACCGTCTCCCACTCCTTTCCTTCCCGGTTACACTTCAAGCGGCTCAGCTTCACACCCCCAACAGTCGTCACATCATTCTCCACTTCAATGTACATGGAGGGGTCAGAGCTCACCTGCACGGACAAAGCAAGCATAACATCTTTCTGGGTGACAGTGGACTCACTCAGACTTGGACCACAGGATAGGTGAGATGCTCAGGGGTTCTTCAGACCCAAGTCTTGAGGCATGATGAAGACACACAGAAGCACTTAGAGCTGAATGGCCAACAGGAGGGTGGTGGTAGAAGAGATAAGGTAGGACAGGGGGCCAGAGGGCTATATTTGCAGTCCCCACAGGGTAGGGGTAATTAATGCTGCTTGGTTTCTGCCTTGTTATCAGAGTAGGAGAGCAGAGAATCAGTGCAGACTTGAAGACCCTAAAGCTTTCTTATCCTACCCCCTCCTCTCACAAGGAAGAAGAATGTAGAGAAGGCATGTTACTAGCTGAAGAGCACACTAAAGATAACTACAATTAGTTGGGGACAGATATGAGAGTGGAACACTATCTCCTGCCTCTCAGTTGAATAAATTTTCAGACTGCACTGTTTAGCCACAAATAAGTCACAATCAGTGGTAGTCTAGAAAACTCTAAGATCACCTGCACTTCCTTCGGTCTGATTCCATGTGAGCACATTTATAATGTCCAGGGAACTAACTATGAGATATTCTGTATGAAAAACCAGGCAGAACAGTCAAATAGTTTGCGGGTATGTGGCCACAGAAGTGGGTGACCTGACAGAGGCTGACTGCAGCTGGGAGCACGGCCTTCACAGATACTAAGAAACTAGCATTCAGCTGGAAGAGTTTGGGAGGGGAGTTTGTGTATTTGGCTTACATTCACATCAGCAACAAGAACAACCGTGCGTGTCCCTACCTACCCTTAGTCCAGAAGGATCTGTGACAGAAAAGAGTGTTGTCTGCTTCCTGGCACCCATGCCAGATGATGATTCTGGGCTGGGGCAGTTTGTGGCCAGTGGGGAATGACCTACTCACACATGGTCCTAGGTTTCCTGAGGACATGCACCTGGGTTGAGACACAAAGGGCACGAAGCAATGAAATGTGTGCCTGACACAGGTGCTGGACTGAGTACTTAGAGGGTCTCTGTATATAAGGACCATTTGCGCTAGTACTGTGCCCTGAACCAGCACAAAATTATAAGCTTCTACTTCAAAAGCTCAAATAGTCATAACGATGACTGCACAGGAAACTGGGAAGCAAACATCTAGTGGGTTAGTTGGGAGCTGTTGGACTATGTGGTAGACCAAGGAGGTTCAGGAACAAGTGTGGACCTCAAGGAGACTTCCAGAGGGAACACCTGAGACAAGTCTTGAGAAGCTGGGAATCCAAATGATGGCAGTGGCGACTATGAGAGAGGAGTCGTAGAAGATGTAGAGTCACTGGAGTAGAGAGCAAGGGGTAGAAGTGGGAGGGCTGGGGATGGGAGTGGTGGGGGAAAGAAGCTAGTGATTTTGTTAAGACTAGGTAGTTGTCCTGATCAGTTACAACTTCCCCCAGGATGGAGAGACACTGGAAAATAGCCCTCAGTCAGTGACATTCAGGGTTTAGATTTGGGGAAGAGGTGTACTTGTGAGGGAGAAGTAGGAGGCCTTCTCACCTGTAGGGTGAATGCTCTCTGGGGGCCTGGCATGGGCAGCTTCAGTGCAGGTGCTGGTATCGACAAACACATGGCATCCTTCTCTGTGGTCAGGGTAGCTGGAGACTGCAAGAGGAGACATGTTCCTGAGTCCTGTCCCAGCAGTGCACTGTCAGTGCAGGGCACTGTCAGGTAAAGCTTAGTTACCCAGAGGTGAGGCAGGGCCTATTATCCAGCATTTCCATCCACTTTGCAGGGGTATAGGTGAAGATGAATGCTACAGTGATTCCTACTTTACAGAGAGATAGTTGACCCCAAAGAAATACAAAAGCTCTGGATCAGCTGAGGGCAGGTCTGGGGAAGCAAGGCCTCCTCCATGCTTTCTCTGTAAGTACATGCCTAAGGCAGTGACCACATTGAACAGGCAATGCTGCAGCATGTAGGTCTCCCTTCTCCCACCTGGGCATATGCTGGCCCTATTACAGAAGTCAAGAGATGGGTTAGGGAGGCACAAGCCTCACCTGGACAGACAGAGACATGGGCATGAGCCGGGAGTCCTTCCGAGGCCGTCCTTTCTTTTTCTTCTCTACAGTCTCCACCTCAAGCTCCAGTTTTCGCTTGGACAGTGAGGAAGGCTTGGCCACAGGGACCTTCTCGTCACTGTCACTGCTGCTCTCCAGTAGGTCCCGGGGCCGCAGCTCTTTCACAAGGTTCTGTTCTTTTAACCTGAACAAACACAGACACCATGATTTTTTCCTATATTCCTACAAAGTTCATGAATAAAAACAAAAAGGTATCCTTAAAAATTGATACAAAAAATAAGAGTACTCTGTTTATTACCCCAATATGCAAAGAGTTTGGAATGCTTTTGATCACTCCCATCCCCCAAATAATAGGAAAGCTGAAAATCAACAGATCTTAGATTCACCAGAGAAGTAAGGTCACAAGGCAAATTGCCACACTGAAAACTGGAAAGAATGATGAAGACAGAGAACCAGTACTCCACAGGTGCAGCTCATGGAGCTCTAACTGTTGAGAAGACTTAAGTGCTAACTAATACATCACTGGTGGCTGAATGTTAGCTGGCCTTGTAAGTTTAAACTGCTAACCCAATAAAAGTCTCAATGATGGCCCTCCCTGGTGGTGCAGCGGGTTGAGGCACAGCACTGAAAAGCTTAAGCCACTTCCACATGAGTTCGATTCCTGCCTGCCCCGGAGGAGATCCACATGGCGTGGCAGACCTCTCCTGACCCACCCGCTGCTCCCCTCAGCAGTGT